ACCTACGTGGATAGAGAATAGTGAGTTAGATATGAGAATGGAATAGACTGCCAACCGTTACTGGAATTGGTTGACATTCGAAACTAAAAATTTAAAGACGGATCCCGTTGTTTTTTTTTCAGAATTATTACAGGTCATTTGTTTATAAAAGCTTTAATTCTATATTAACATCGTAAAGGTATTAAATTTCGAATAATATCCAATAATTGCTTATATATTCTTTATTGCACAAACATTTAATAATATATATATATGTATATATAGAAAGTGATGTTGACAAAGGTGCCTAGAGTAGGAACTAAATTAAATTTAAAGTATACTATGTCCAGTGGCTTGACTGTCGGTACACTGCACCCTGAAAGCCTCTACTTGATGAAATGTATCTGTACCTTACAAAAAACCACCTACATATATATCTCATATCTAGTGTTGATTAAGACTACTCGCTAGCTTGAAGAAGGAAAACAAAAACAATATTTACGCAACATATTACAGGCATGACCATCACCATTACCTAGGGGAGCGTCTTAAAGAGCTTTTTAGTGCAAATAGTGACTTATGTTACAAAAGAAAATTAAGATGTTCTTATAAAAATTAAATAAGTGATATGCGTATAAATAAAATTGATATGTGTGTCTGATGTGTTTATGTATATTGTCCCAATATATTTACAGTATAGTTAAACAAAAACAGCTATTATAATTTTTTTTCCTCTCCTTCATCTCTCGGTCTGTTTGTGTTCTCTAATCGCCGTAACGGTTAAACCAATTTTAATTATTAACGCATAAATAATTTGAGCAAGTTAGGACAGTTATTGATTAGTTTTTTGAAAGAGAAAGGTCTCCTATGTGATAAGAACTAAAAAAGTACTGGTCAACCGACTGATTTGACTTCTGATGAAGATTAGAGGATAAAGGCTTAAATTATTGTATACCATGTCATTTTGACGACACATTTGGCTCAGTTTGTAGTGTACTTTCTGTGCCGGCGGTCGCGGGTTCAAGTCCCGCTGGGGGCATTCATTTGTGTGATGACGAAGGTTTGTACTCCAGTCATGGCTGTTTATATTTATAATATGTATGTATTTGAAGTTATATATATGTAGTGTATTAACTATCTGGTATCCATAAGACAAGCCTCGTGGCTTACCATGGAACTAGATGGTGCTGTGTGTTAATGTCCCAACATATTTATTTATTTATTTATGTTGTCTATGTTAACGTTATTTAGACATTTGTGATTCAATCTTGCGTAAAACAGTAGATACCCAAAGGGAACTGGATTATACTAGACACCTAAATAGACCAGGTCCAAGGCTAAATTACAAAATATCTCGAGTATACACATTAACATGCGAGATAATAAGAATTCTTTTCAATGTTATTTGTTGGATGAAAAGACAGAAAATACTATTCCAACATCCCAAGCTGTGGGTAAAAATTAATTATACGATAAGTATAACTCATATTCTGTTTATAAAGCGCACTATTGCAAGTAAGTAAATAACTAATACAATTATACGTAAAAGCGTACTGATTTCTGCTTCTGTAGCTCCTCAAAGGAAACCTAAATTAGCAAATTAATTAAGATATTCACGATTTTCACTACATTCGATAACAGTTAGTACAAATGTTAATGAATAAAATACACGTAAGTAATCTGCAAGATAATTACAAGATGCGCAGTGTAGGTATTTCTGGTTACGATTGACATACTTATCTCTGAAACTGTAAAACGTTCAATTCAGTATAATTAACAATTAGAATCAAATATATTTTTAACCTCCGATGCAAAAAGAGGCGTGATATAAGTTTGACGTCGATGTCTGTGTGTCTGTCTTTGTGTGTGTGTGTGTGTGTGTGTGTGTGTGTGTATGTCTGTGGCATCGTATCTGTCGCATTCGAAGCGGTTTTTTTTTCATTTCAAAGCCAATTTCCTTGCGGTGGTTCTTAACTATGTTTGGTTAATATCGGTCCAGCAGTGTAAGAGTATCGGCTCTTTTCCAAAATAATATAAAGCATTTTGGCGTATGATTTTTTTTTTTTTTTTTATTTCTGTTTGGCGGCTTTTTTATATCACTGCGACCATTTCTGGTCTATTGTGATCGCCGCTATTTTGTACTAGAGTGAACCACTAAACCCTGCTGATGTTAAGAACTGCAGGATTTTCTTAGGGTTGCACTCTTTTATTTCATCTAGGCTTGGAAATTGTTTACCTAGATGAATACTACGTTTGTGCATGAGCGGTCCACATTCCCACAGAAGATGCAGTGGCGTTTCGTCTGCCTCCCTGCAAATTCTGCAGGTTCGCGTTTCGCTCAGCCCCAGGTTGAACATGTGCTTATTTAAGCAGCAGTGTCCAGTAAAGGCCCTTACCAGTATACGTAAGGTTTTTCTGTTTAGCCCTAGCATAAGATTGTTAAACCTTTTGTCGTAGGCTCTAGTTAATGCCTTGGAGTGATTCATTCCATTTGATTCAGTCCAGGTCTTGTTCGCAGTCTTAAGACATGCTATCATTAGGGTTCTTTGAACTAGGCTCTTAGGTATCCCACAGAAGGGCTCAGGGCCCTGCTGTATGCCAAGAGCTCCCCCTCTAGCGAGCTTATCGGCACACTCGTTGCCAATTACACCTGCATGACCCGGTACCCATCTTAACACTACTTTGTTACTACTTGCTAAGAGGTTTAGTCGGTCCATGCACTGCTCCACTAACTTTGATGAGACTATGTTTGAGTCCAGCGCTAGTAGTGCAGCTTGACTATCTGAATTTATATAGATAGTTTGATTTGTGTAGTGCTTAGACAAATTAGCTTCTACACATTCTAGAATGGCATAGACTTCTGCTTGGAAAATAGAGGCAAATTGTCCGAGGTGTATGCTTTTGCTAAACCTCGGTCGCTCTCCATATATCCCACAGCCAGCCTTTGCTTCTATTTTTGAGCCATCTGTAAACCAGATGAGAGATCCGTTTTTATGGATTACCTGGCTTTTAGTCCAGTCTTCCCTTGACGGAAATTCAATTGTATAATACTTTACAAATGAGTGCCGAATTAACATGGCATCAGTCGTCATACCAAGTAGCGGCATTGGCGTATGATTACTCGATTAAGTGCTTCACGCGTGCCAGTGTAATCGTTAAATGACAATTAATTTGCGTAGGGGTTTTTTAAAATTATTATTGAGTTTAATAATGTATTAAGCACCACAACATTTACGAAAGTCATCGCTCTCTACGTAATTTTAATTTTAAACGTTTGTCATATTTTAAGAATAAGAAGTGACACTTACATATTGTGATACTTATGCGATCAAAAGAATTAGTCCTTTTAACCGACTTCGAAAATATCTGATTAGGTATCTATTCTAAATGAAAACCCCCGTTTAGTTATATTTTACATTTTATTGCCTGGAAGTCGGTTTTTTTTTTAAGTTTTATGCAGATAAAAGAGATTATACTCGTAATACGTATGTATTTCGCACCATAGGGAAAGTTACCAACAGGCTCTACCAATTGTAGTATAAATATTGGAGTGACTATTACTATTTATATGAAACAAAGATTTAAAATATATAAATAAAAATAAATTTAATTAGTTGTATAGTATAAATAAAATAACACAAATCACTCACCTTATCTCAAATCATTGATCATTATTAATGGCATTGTACATATTATTTGTGAATCAGAGCGTACGCTATAAAAAAAACGCAAGTAAGTAATGACGAATGTCTGTACATAGAAAAAAAATGCTAAAAAGCAAATCAGGGGGATGTAAGTAGATGTGGAAAAATCCAGTTTTTTCATTTTTTGGTTTGTCTGTCTGTTTGTCTGTTTGTACGGGCTAATCTTCAAAATTGGACCGATTTGAATGAAATTTTGCATGGTGGTACCTCATATCCCCGGTTAACATTTTAAATCCCCGGAAAATTAAAGAGTTCCCGTGAGATAGTTAAAAAGCTATAGTAAGTTATACAGCTTAGTACACAAAAACTACTGATTGGATTTTAATGAAACTTTACAATAAAATAGTTCATACATCGTAATAACTAATAGGCAACTTTTATTCAGGAAAAATGTACGGTTTCCGTGGAATAGATATGATTTTGCTTGAGTAGAGGCGACCCCGAACGAAGCGAGGGTGAGCCACTAGTTTAAAATGAAATAAAAATAATCAAATGGTGAACGAATAATAAATTCCTTAAATGTAAGCAATGCAGTCTTATACGCATATTAGAAAACATTACGTCATAATAATAAAATAATATAACACAAACGTAATCGTTACTTGAATTTGTACACAACAGGGTCAGTATAATTGTTGTAGTCCTGACTGTGTGCCAATGAAGCATTGTCTCAAAATGCGCGTCAACAGCAAATGAACGTACGATATATTTTAGAACCGTATTGATTAAAAATAACTTGTCTCTACAAATATTCGTTAGAACAGCGGTGCGACGAAGCGCGTGGACGCGCCTCAAACGAGCGATTCGGCCGTTTGGCGTCCGCTCACGGCTGCGATATCGACCTTCTTGTTATCAGTATAAGAGCTAGTCAACACGCCGGCGACAAACCCAAGTGATAAACAAGCAAAAGCGTGCGCCCGCGCCGGTTCGCCTCATTCCATTCTACTCCGTGTGATTGGATCAGTTCGTTCGCCTCGCTCTCTAGCCTACTCTTTCGATCAGTTGCTCACTCGCCCTCGTCGCGGTAACAAACTCAGCGTTACTTCTCACAATATGTACCAGCAAGAAAACAACACATAAACCTTCCAAAATGAAGCCAAATCGGTTATAACCTTTTTAAAACCTATTATATATAATTTGATTATTTTATTTTTGTGATATTTAGTTATTATCTTTTGTTATTATTTATATCATTACCATGGGTTCTTAATTATTCAATTTAGATTTTATTACTTAATTTAATAGTGCTCAAGAAAATCTCATTCCAAATCGCCCAGTAAATCATATTTAGTCTAATAGTACTTAAATAAATCTGCAATGACCGCAAAAACTCGTTCACATTGGAAGGAATATGGAACAGCACTGTGTGGTAAGTTTATTTTATAACCTATCACTGCATCTCTACTTCATGCTCGTATGGCCATGTGTTTGCTAATGTTTAATTAATCCGACCAATTCCAATTTATTTCATAATAATTAGTGAAATTTACATAATATACTTTTTTGGTGAATGTTTTAATCGACCTAAAGAGCAGAATATTAAATTAGTCGTGGTCACGTTTATCGCTAACATAAGTCCTCGTAAGCGAGCCGCTCGACATTTTAATGAAACGTGTCGAGCTTTGTACGCTGCTACTGTTCATGGCAACGCAAATATTCATCCCCTTTATCAGTTCGCAATTCTGTAGATCCTTTCATATCTATTTACAATCCGTCATAGCCAGATATTTCCGCATCATAGACCCCGTTCAGAAATCTAGCAAAATGATATTTGTATGTAGAGTTTCACATTGCTCTACGTATACGCTTGTAATGCATTATTAGTTTCTCCATATTAACATCGACATTTTTAAATGAAAATATCGATATTAATATGGACATTTTTATTTTAAATATATCGCTTATATTACATTACACTCGTACCTAATTATTTTTTAACCTCGGCTTTACGCATTAATTGATGAAGAAATAAAAATGAGTCATAGAACGCTTCTGAAAACTAAAAACTACCTTATCAAAGTGATTTATATTTTACTTGTTTACTATACTTAAATTTTTGTTTTATATACATTACATATCATTTAGAAGCGCCTTTGTGGAAGCTGTGAAAGCTGCTTAGCCGCCGTTACTCATATCATACATAAACTTTATCTATAATTCATAAAATAAACATCGCTTATCATTATACGTGACGTGTGGTGTAAAAATATAAAATTATTTTAGGGAAACTGCGTCTCATTATTCAATTGTGACTCAAATATATTTTATTGCGCTTCTAGGGCCACTATTAAGGTCCGAACTGTGATATAGGGTAGTGGTAGAACCAAGTCGTTTAAGATATGCATCACAAGTTATTAACAGAGAAATTATTTGACAGTAGCAGTCAATCAATAATACTTTTTCTTGCGAGAAGAAAAAGAGAGTATCAAAATCTAATGGATATCTATAATCTTTGTGTGCTTTTTCCTTACTGTTATAGAACAAATTAAATATTGTATGACAATATAAGCCTTCAGTTCATATGGGAATCAAACTCCCGACATCTGACGTAAACAATGACGAATGTACATCGACGAAGGTCATCCACTTTCCGTCTTGCTAGAAATCTTTTTATAATAAAATTATATCATTATATTACCTAGAGTACTGGCTTAGCCATCAATCATAAACTTACCTAATTTTCGTAAATAAGAAATAATATTTACTTATAAACGATGAAGTACTACTCAAGTAAACCTTAGCCTTTTCAAATCAAGAAATATTAGGCCAGTTATTGGTATCGTAACAATATCGCAAGTATATTTAGGTAAGAGGGCGTTCAAAGGGCCACCTATAGAGCCATTGAAAAGGCAATCCCGTTTTCTAAGAAGCGCCACATTCAGGTATTTTAGGGTGGCCAATATTTACTCATAAAATACGAAATATAAGTTATATCATTACCGATAAAAAGCTTCCGGTTTGATTGATTTAAATTTAACATTAAATTTTAACTACTGTTTTTTTAAGAAAAAAATCTTAACATGCTCTAAATATTTATCGGAACAAATATAAATAAGAAGTTAGATTCATCAGTCGTGATCAATCAGTTGTTGCGAACATAATTTATGACATGGAGAGGAGCATAGGTCAATTTTTACCAGTCACGAAAACTAGGACTTCAATTAGAGACTGGATAGTACAACTTTATTATGAATAAATTTATTTCTTAATCAACACCTGTGTTATTGTCACCCTAATCATACGTAAACCTCAAAGAATATTGAGACTAATATGATAAAAAGAACCGTTCTGAAGTTTGGCAACTAAATATCAAAAATACCAAAATTATTTTATCAAACGTAAAAATAACTCTCAAATAAATGTGTATAATTTCGTTAAGCTGAAAAACGTAAGGCTTCCTAAATATTTATCAAATACTTGGGAACAAATATTTATCAAATGAAAGCAATTCGCTTTATAATAATAAGAAATGAAATAAATTCTGAAATAATTTTAATAATATACACATATTACGTATATATATGCATTATAAAACTGTGAAATTAAAGGTTTTCCATACGTATTTGCTCCTTTGTGTAACATTTTAAAAAAGCATTATACGACAAAACAGTTATTTTTAGAATTGTTGTGTCATTTACATCGAAGTACTATTCACATGAAAACTGTTTTGCAATTATATAATATGCGTCTGTATTTTTTATCCCAGATAATGGAACACTTTTGTCTTAATGGATGATGAAGGTTTATAGAAAAAAAATCTTATAATAGACATGAAATGCATGGAAAAAATGTTGATGTAGATCGTTATGGCTTTTCCTACTGATTCAATGATTAGAATACATAAATAAATATGTAAGTAATGTAGGTAAAAGAATATGCGCGTCCTAACTCCTATTTTCATTGAAAAATATCTTTCATATAATAATGATATCCAGAGTATATTTTATAAATTCCTAATACTATAGTAATAAATAATTTTTGTGTGAATAAAATAATAACTTTTAATACAATAAACATTATTTTTTATGATCATATTTTAATTGCCAATTATTTTTTATATATTTACTCAACGATGATAAGTCAATATCAAAGAGTATTCTATCAGTTTCATCAAGTGGTTCCCATGGGATGAAAATATATATAAAAAGATATAAAGAGCATGTGGAGTGTAATGAATATGGGAATGAGCTTAATTAATACTAAAGTTAAATATACCTTACTTTTCCTATAAATAGGTCATTGAATGCTATTGAAAATAAGCACTGACCATATATAAGTTGTGTTAAAGCAAAGCTTGCCACTTGCTACGAGTGCAGTAGTAAATTCTAAATTAAAATAAATATTCAACATAAAGAGGTATATTACACGCGAACGTTCGAATACTACAAACATTTTGTTTCAACTGACATTTACATAGAAATTAAAAACAAGAATTTAGATTAAATATCAAGTCTACATCGAGATTTTAAATTATATATTCAATTTTTTTTTTATAACAAGGAACTATTAAAAAATATAGCGCTATATTTGGCTGGGCAGGCTGCATACTCTATCTCAGGCTGGATCTCATGTACCTTTTAAATGACATTTAATACACGTTTATCCTGTACCAGGAAAAAAAAATTACAGGATGTCAGATAGAAATTTGTATGAAAACTGTTATATTGGTTCCCTAACTTCCAGTTTGATACCCTTTTTTAATAGAATGTTAAAAAAAGGAAAAAATTATGAGTCACTGTAAATAACTTTACAGCGGCTCTTAATTTTTTTTCTTTCAATTATTAAAAGCTTATTTTAAAATTATATAACTAAATATGCAAAAAGTGTATCATTATTTATGATAAAAAATATTTACGAAAATCGATAGAGATGATATACCCAAATACAAGTAGCTACAGACGTATTAGTAGCTTCGAATATAGTGCCTTCTCCTTTTAAATGAAACTATCTTTTCAAACTTTATCGCGGCTTTATTTTATATTTTTCTTCCCCATCCCAAATCAAAAAAGATTTAAAATGTCAAATATTAAAGTTTCCAAAATTTAATTAAAAAAAATCTCAAATCCAAAAAGATAGTTTCATTTAAAGTGTAAAATATTTTTAAATAATCAAGTACGTTTTAAAAAAGTGGGTATTTCCTCTCCTTATTTAATACGACCAAAAATGAATGGCATGAAATAAAATTCTCTAAAAAAAGTATATTTTGATCCAAGCTAGTTTTTAACTTTTTTTAGTTTATGGCCTGATCACCCTCGTATTGAAGGGAGGCCCGTGCCCAGCAGTGGAACATTAAAAAGGGCTGAATACATAGTTTTTAATTACTAATGACGAGAAGTCCACGTGTTTTGTTTGTAATAATAAAAAATACGTTACAATAGTTAAACGGTACCTGTCACAGAATTTTGTAATTATGCCTAACATAATCGATTTTATGGAATCTTTTGTTTCATTTTACATTCATATTCCAATATTATTTAATACAATCTTCAATATATTCATGAAATTTCAAATTAGTTAATATATTATAATGAGTCTATTGTTATGTGTAAATTAATATAAATAAATATGTTGGGACATTAACACACAACACCATCTAGTTCCATGGTAAGCTACGAGGCTTGTGTTAAGGATACCAGATAGTTGACACACATATATTACTTTAAATACATACCTATTATAAATGTAAACACCCATAACATGGAGTACAAAAATTCGTAACATATATAAGACTGCTTAATATCAAAGTAATTTTTATATTGTCGTATACTTAAACTTCAATTACGTCATTGATTTCAAGTGTTGATAGGAATTTTTTTTTATTATTGTTAAACACTTCCCACAAAATTTTATAAAATCCTTTAATCTTAATATGACCACAATAAATTGTTATCTTTAATCACTATTACTTTGTGCGTAGCAAAACAAATGGAATATTTATATTGACCTACGGTTAGTATGGAATATATAGACTATAATTATACATAGTTTAGTTGAGTTTTATATCTCTTACTCGGCAAATTATTGATCCCCATGCAAACTTCTACCCTCCTTAAGGGATGATATCCGGGGTAAAAGCTCTCAAATTAGGGGTCTCAAACTCCCCCCCAACGTGCGTTCACCTTGTCGTGGTGGGGGGCTCAGTAAACCTAACCTAACCTAGTGCCCGGCAACCCAACCGGGCGCGAAGCTAAGAAACGCATAGGGAGGTTGCCCACTTCGGTGGGCGGTGGGAGGTGGCCCTCTTCGGGGGGCGGTGTACCATGCGGGTTGCTCCTGGTACTTCTCTGATAGCAGAGTGGACTGTGGAGCAACCCCATGGTTGTGGTGGTCTGCTTCGGCAGACCTGCCGTCGGGGCGTCGTAGTTGAAT